GTCAGGGGCAGAACAGAAATCTGGATTTTTATTTTTTTTTCCTCCAACACACACTGAAAACTGCTCCAAAGGCTGAAATTCTGGAGCAGGAACACGAGTTTCTCAAGAGAATCTGCACTATCAAAGCAGTATCTGGATTTTTAATCCCCTTCCTCCAATAGCTGGTTCTGTCAGACCCTGGTCCACAGGGGTGTGTGGGCCTGAGGAGCTGCTGTCCCACCCCAAAACCCAGCCCCAGAAATCTTGGGTTATCAGGGCCCTGGGAAGTTCCAAGGGAGCCAAAAGCACTCAGACCTTTGGTACAGGATCAAAGTGAGACCCAAAAACAGGAAAAAATCAGAGCCAGGTGTCATTGGAAAGATTTCAGCACCAGGACAGAACATTCCAGTCAATCTGCTTTGGTGCAATGAGGAGTAGAACAGAAGCCTGGATTTTTAAACCTCAAAGAGCTTGTTCTGTCAGACCCTGCTCACACAGCTGTGGCCTGAGGAGCTGCTGTCTCACCCCAAAACCCACCCCAGGGGGGCACCAAGATTTACAGACAACAGGTTAAAAGTACAAAAACTGTGGGCTGGCCCAGCAAGAAAGCAGGAACCCACCCAAACCAGTGCCAAGAAAGCAGGAACCCACCCAAACCAGTGCCAAGAGAGCAGGAACCCACCCAAACCAGTGCCAAGAGAGCAGGAACCCCCCCAAGCCCAGTGCCCCTGCCAGGAGGTGCCCCCAGCACCCCGAAGGGCTCTGAGGTGCCCAGCTCACCTGCTCTGTGGCTGTGGGGCAGTACCACACCAGCAGCAGGGTGGTGAGGATGTTAATGCACAGTCCGACGATGGTGATGAGGTTGGGGGCGATCCAGGCGGGCACTCTGCCCACCAGCCATTCCCAGTAGCCCTGCATGAGGGGCTCCAGCAGGGACCTGCCCGCGCTCTGGTACTTGTGCTCCTCGAGCCGTTTGAGCTGGTGCTTGCTCAGGGGGGGTGTGGGCAGCTGCACCAGCTTGCTGAGCACACACCCAGCCCCGGGGCCGTGCCCACAGCCCGCGGGGGCCTCGGCCTGGGCCTCCCCACATCTCCTCCTGCTGCTGCGGTGCCCGCTCATGGGTCGGCTGGCCTAGGAGGTGAGGTTTGGCAGGCAGGAGCTGTGCTGGAGAACCATAAGATCCTGCAAGAGAAAGGAAGGGTTGGGAGAGACTCGTTAGAGAAAAGGTCCTTCCCCCTCAGAGGGCGGCCGGGCACTGAGCCGTGCCCAGGGTCACCCCCGGGCAGTGGGCACAGCACTGGGGCTCACAGAGCTCAGGGTCACCCCCAGGGTCACCCCCGGGCAGTGGGCACAGCACTGGGGCTCACAGAGCTCAGGGTCACCCCCAGGGTCACCCCCGGGCAGTGGGCACAGCAC